GGATCCAAACCTGGGATTTTGGGATCCAAACCTGGGATTTCAGGATCCAAACCTGGGATTTTGGGATCCAAACCTGGGATTTCGGGATCCAAACCTGGGATTTGGGGATCCAAACCTGGGATTTCGGGATCCAAACCTGGGGTTTCGGGATCCAAACCTGGGGTTTCGGGATCCAGACCTGGGATTTCGGGAATTCTCAGGGAATTCTCCCGGGAATTCTCAGGGAAGGGCAAACCTGGCCCCGGGGGCCATCCCGGCTTTTCCCCAGCGGGAATTTCAACATTTGAGGCTCTGCTTGGACTCGATTTCCCCATAAATCCATAAAATAACGAGGATTGTTATTTATTATTAGGGATTATTATTTATTATCATGGATTATTTATATTACGGATTATTATTGATTATTATTAGGGATTATTTATTATTAGGGATTATTATTGATTATTATTAGGGATTATTTATTATTAGGGATTATTATTAGGGATTACTTATTATTAGGGAGTATTTATTATTAGGGAGAATTTATTATTAAGGATTATTATTTATTATTATTAGGGATTATTTATTATTATGGATTATTAATTATCATGGATTATTTATATTATGGATTGTTATTTATTATTATTGATTATTATTATGGATTATTTATTATTAGGGATTATTATTTATTATTATTAGGGATTATTTGTTATTAGGGATTATTATTATTAATTGTTTTTATTAGGGATTATTTATTATTATAGATGATTTATTATTATGGATTGTTATTAGGGATTGCTTATTATTGGGGATTATTTATTATTAGGGATTATTATTTATTATTAGGGATTATTTATTTTTAGGGATTATTATTATTATTAGGGATTACTTATTATTAGGTATTATTTATTATTAGGGATTATTATTTATTATTATTAGGGATTATTTATTTTTAGGGATTATTATTTATTATTATATATTATTATTTTTTTATTATGGATTATTTATTATTAGGGATTGTTATTTATTATTGTGGATTAATTATTATTAGGGATTGTTATTTATTATTATAGATTATTATGGATTATTTATTATTATGGATTATTATTATTATTAATTGTTTTTATTATGGATTATTTTTTATTATATATAGGCTGGAATGTTTTCCTGCCTCTCTCCCTCTCGGCATTCCCGGCTGGCCCCGCCCCCAACTCGGGGCTTTTTTTTGGTTTTTTCCCCTTAAAATCCCCCTCGGGGGGAGGTGGGAATTTAAGGATATCAGTCAGGGAACGGTGGAATTTCGGGATTGGGGTCGTGGAATCCCGGAATGGTTTGGCTTGGAAGGGGAGGGAGCGGAAACCCCGTCCCGGGACGTCGACTCTCCCTGTCCCAAAACTGCCCCGGAATTCCCGGTGCCGAGGCTCTTCCAGGGGAAAAGTGGGATTTGGACCCGCCGGTTTGGGGCTGGAAATCCAAAACCATGGAAAAGGGATCACGGAGTTCTCCTCCTGGAATGAGGGATCTCCCGGGGCTTCTCTGGGATTCCTCCCGTTGGTGAAATTCCTGACGAGCTCCCAGGTTGGCCTGGGAATGCCGGGGCCCTTTTCCCCGGGATCTGACGCCTCCTTTTTCCCTCCCCGGCTCATCCCACGGCGTCTTCCCGTCCCTTTTTTTGAGGGATAAACGTCCCGCTCGGCTCCTCCCGCTCCCGCCGCCCTTCCCGCCCCGACGCTCCTCGGGAAAGACAATCCCGTCCTCCTCCCCTCTTCCCTCAAACCCAACCTCCTCCCAGGCCCAGATCCCCCGATCCACGACCTTCCCGAGCTCCCAGAATCCCTTAATCAGAGATTTGGGATCATCAGGACTCCGGGAGCTCCTTTGAGGAGCTTTCGGGGTCAAACCCGGAGACTTTTTCCCGCTTGGATTCCCGCCCCCGGCTCATCCCGAGGCCCTTTCGTGGCGTTATCTCCTCTCCGGCGGCTTCCCGGGGGCCCCTTTTTTCCTTGGAATTTCGAGGGGATGGTGCAGGACGAGCCCTCCCCGCGGAGTCGGGATCGGGAGCATCGGGAAAGGCTCCGATGGGACGGAAGGAGACGGAGCCGAAGGGGCTTCTTTGAAGCCTCTGGGATTTTTTGGGATCTTCTCCCCGTGCCCTTCCGGGCCGGGAAGGACACGGCAATTCCAAAGGGAGGCTGGGAGATGGGAGAGGGAGAAATATTTGGGGTTTTTTTTCCCCAAAGATTTCCTTGGAAAAGGGGAAAAACATCCCGGGTCGAGCAGGGTGACCCTTCCCAAGGGTTTTCCTCAGGATTTTTTGGGGCCTTATCCAGGCTGGGAGAGACAGATTCCAATTCCAAAGGCGTTGGAAATTTGGGAGGTGTGGGGTGAAGAAATCTTTGGATTCTTGTTCCGAAGGTTTCCCTGGAAAAGGGGGAAAACATCCCGGGACGAGCAGGGTGACCCTTCCCAAGGGTTTTCCTCCTGGGGATTTTTTGGGATCTTCTCCCTGTGCCCTCCGGGCCGGGAAGGACACGGCAATTCCAAAGGGATGCTGGGAGATGGGAGAGGGGGAAATGTTTTGGGGTTTTTTTTCCCAAAGATTTCCTTGGAAAGGGGGGAAAACCGTCTTGAATTGTGGAATCTTTGGTTTGGTTTGGAAGGGGCTGCTGAACTCCTGTGGGAGCTGGGAAGCAAAGATTGGTCTGAATGCCTTGGAAAAGTGGGATTAGTGGGGAAAAGTGGGATAAAGCTGTGGAAATGGAAAGGGGAATCAGGAATTGTTGTTCTGCTCACTGAGGGTGGTCGTCTCCGTCTTGAGTCGTGGAATCTTTGGTTGGAGGAGCTGCTGAACTCCTGTGGGAGCTGAAAGCCAGGGATTGGTCTGAATGCCTTGGAAAAGTGGGATTAGTGGAAAAGTGTGATAAAGCCGTGGAAATGGAAGGGGAGGCAGGAATTGTTCCCCTCACCCCAGTTCCTCACCTCCATCTCAGTTCGTGTGGGAAGGGACCTTCACTCCCTCCCCTTCCCATCTGACATTCCCTCTCTCCCCCTTCCCTTCCCCCTGGGGGTGTTTTCCAGGCTGGAATGGGTGGAGATCATCGAGCCTCGCACCCGGGAGCGCACAGAAACCCTTGGAAACCCTTGGAAAAGTGGGATTAGTGGGAAAAAGTGGGGAGAAGTGGGATAGAGCTGAGGAGATGGAAGGGGGAGTCAGGAATTGTTGTTCTGCTCATCCGAATGGGTCGTGTCTGTCTTGAGTCGTGGAATCTTTGGATTGGTTTGGAAGGGGTTGTTGAACTCCTGTGGGAGCTGAAAAGCCAGGGATGAATGCCTTGGAAAAGTGGGATTAGCGGGGAAAAGTGTGACAGAGCTGAGGAGATGGAAGGGGGAGTCAGGAATTGTTGTTCTCCACACTGAGGTTGGTGAGTCGTGGAATCTTTGGTTGGAGGAGCTGCTGAATTCCTGTGGGAGCTGAAAAGCAGGGATTGGTCTGAATGCCTTGGAAAAGTGGGATTAGTGGGGAAAAGTGGGATAGAGCTGAGGAGATGGAAGGGGGAGGAAGGAATTGTTGTTCTCCTCATCCGAGTGGGTCGTGTCTGTCTTGAGTCGTGGAATGTTTGGTTTGGTTTGGAAGGAGCTACTGGATTCCCGTGGGAGCTGAAAAGCAGGGATTGCTTGGAAACCCTTGGAAAAGTGGGATTAGTGTGAAAAGTGGGATAGAGCTGAGGAGATGGAAGGGGGAGTCAGGAATTGTTCCCCTCACCTTGGTGCTCACCTCGATCTCGGATCACCGGGCTGTTGGTTTGGGAAGGGACCTCCTGGCTGACATTCCCTCTCTCCCCTCCCTCTCTCCCTGGGATGCTTTTCCAGGCTGGAATGGGTGGAGATCATCGAGCCTCGCACCCGGGAGCGCACGGAAACCCTTGGAAACCCTTGGAAAAGTGGGATTAGTGGGGAAAATGGGATAAAGCCGAGGAGGTGGAAGGGGAGTCAGGAATTGTTCCCCTCACCTTGGTGCTCACCTCGATCTCGGATCACCGGGTGGTTCTGGTGGGAAGGCACCTCCAGTCCCTCCCCTTCCCGACTGACATTCCCTCTCTCCCCGGGGGTGTTCTCCAGGCTGGAATGGGTGGAGATCATCGAGCCTCGCACCCGGGAGCGCACGGAAACCCTTGGAAACCCTTGGAAAAGTGGGATTAGTGGGAAAAAGTGGGGAGAAGTGGGATAGAGCTGAGGAGATGGAAGGGGGAGTCAGGAATTGTTGTTCTGCTCACTGAGGTTGGTGAGTCATGGAATCTTTGGTTGGAGGAGCTGCTGAATTCCTGTGGGAGCTGAAAAGCAGGGATTGGTCTGAATGCCTTGGAAAAGTGGGATTAGTGGGAAAAAGTGGGATAGAGCCGAGGAGATGGAAGGGGGAGTCAGGAATTGTTCCCCTCACCTTGGTGCTCACCTCGATCTCGGATCACCGGGTGGTTCTGGTGGGAAGGCACCTCCAGTCCCTCCCCTTCCCGACTGACATTCCCTCTCTCCCCGGGGGTGTTCTCCAGGCTGGAATGGGTGGAGATCATCGAGCCTCGCACCCGGGAGCGCACGGAAACCCTTGGAAACCCTTGGAAAAGTGGGATTGGTGGGAAAAAGTGTGATAAAGCCGAGGAGGTGGAAAGGGGAGTCAGGAATTGTTCCCCTCACCTTGGTGGCTCACCTCGATCTCGGATCACTGGGTGGTTCTGGTGGGAAGGCACCACCAGTCCCTCCCCTTCCTGGCTGACATTCCCTCTCTCCCCGGGGGTGTTCTCCAGGCTGGAATGGGTGGAGATCATCGAGCCTCGCACCCGGGAGCGCATGTACGCCAACCTGCTGACGGGCGAGTGCGTGTGGGACCCGCCGGCCGGGGTGCGCATCAAGCGCACCAACGAGAACCAGTGGTGGGAGCTCTTCGACCCCAACACCTCCCGCTTCTACTACTACAATGCCACCACCCAGAGGACCGTCTGGCACCGGCCCCAGAACTGCGACATCATCCCCCTGGCCAAGCTGCAGACCCTGAAGCAGAACACGGAGTCGCCGCGGGCGTCCACCGAGAACAGCCCGGGGCGGAGCAGCAACGTCAGCAGGGAGGGCAGCACCGGCTCCTCCCTGGAGCAGGAGCTGGATGGGGGCGGAGGAGGAGGAGGAGGAGGAGGAGGAGGCGGCGAGAAGCTCCCGGAGCAGAGGGCGGGCAGGCAGGGCCCCCAGTACGGCCTGGGCAAGGAGGAGGTGGAGAGGTAAGGGGTGGGCGGGGCGGGGTGGGTGGGGTGGGGTGGGCGGGGCGGGGATGGGCGGAGCGGGGATGGGTGGGGCAGGATGGGGATGGGTGGGGTGGGATGGGGGGGCGGGATGGGCGGGGGGCGGGTGGGCGGGGTGGATGGGATGGGCGGGGCAGGAAGGGTGGGGGTGGGGTTTTGATGGGCGGGGTGGGATGGGGAGGGCGGGGTGGGATGGGGAGGGGCGGGGTTTTTGATGGGCGGGGATGGATGGGGATGGGTGGGGGTTTGATGGTGCGGGTTTGATGGGCGGGGCGGGATGGGGAGGGGTTTGGGGCAGGATGGGGAGGGGCGTGTTGGATGGCGGGCGGGAAATGGGGATGGGTGGGGGTTGATGGGCGGGGCGGGATGGGGATGGGTGGGGAAGGATGGGGATGGGGGGGGTTTGATGGGCGGGGTGGGATGGGGATGGGCGGGGTTTGATGGGCGGGGTGGGAATGGGATGGGCGGGGTTTGATGGGCGGGGCGGGATGGGGAAGGGTGGGGCGGGAATTCCAGTGGGAAAGGGCGGAAAGCAGAGCCCTCATGCTGAGGATCCGCCCTTTCTTGGGAGAAGGGGGTTCGTGGATCAACTGAGCTACTCCTGGGGTTTGATCCTCTGTAAATCACCCCCTGGGGGTGTTTCTGGAGGAAGGAAATCCCAGGAAAAAACATGGATTTTGGGGGAAAGGATGGAGAGGAAAAGAGCAGAGAGCAGAGTCTTCATCCTGAGGATCCTCCCTTTCTTGGGAGAAGGGGTTTTGTGGATCAGCTCAGCTGTTCCTGGATCTCCACAGAGTTTGACCCACCATAAATCATCCCTGGGGGTGTGTCTGGGGGAGGGAAATCCCAGGAAAAAACCCTGGATTTTGGGGGAAAGGATGGAGAGGAAAAGAGTGGAGAGCAGAGCCCTCGTGCTGAGGATCCTCCCTTTCTTGGGAGAAGGGGTTTTGTGGATCAACTGAGCTACTCCTGGGGTTTGATCCTCTGTAAATCACCCCCTGGGGGTGTTTCTGGAGGAAGGAAATCCCAGGAAAAAACATGGATTTTGGGGGGAAAGGATGGAGAGGAAAAGAGCAGAGAGCAGAGCCCTCGTGCCGAGGATCCTCCCTTTCTTGGGAGAAGGGGTTTTGTGGATCAGCTCGGCTGTTCCTGGATCTCCACAGGGTTTGATCCTCCATAAATTGCCCCCAGGGGATGTGTCTGGGGGAGGGAAATCCCAGGAAAAAAACATGGATTTTGGGGGAAAGGATGGAGAGGAAAAGAGTAGAGAGCAGAGTCTTCATCCTGAGGATCCTCCCTTTCTTGGGAGAAGGGGTTTTGTGGATCAGCTCAGCTGTTCCTGGGTCTCCACAGGGTTTGATCCTCCATAAATTGCCCCCAGGGGATGTGTCTGGGGGAGGGAAATCCCAGGAAAAAAACATGGATTTTGGGGGAAAGGGTGGGGAGGAAAAGGGCAGAGAGCAGAGCCCTCGTGCCGAGGATCCTCCCTTTCTTGGGAGAAGGGGTTTTGTGGATCAGCTCAGCTGTTCCTGGATCTCCACAGGGTTTGATCCTCCATAAATCATCCCTGGGGGTGTGTCTGGGGGAGAGAAATCCCAGGAAAAAACCCTGGATTTTGGGGGAAAGGGTGGGGAGGAAAAGGGCAGAGAGCAGAGCCCTCGTGCCGAGGATCCGCCCTTTCTTGGGAGAAGGGGTTTTGTGGATCAACTGAGCTACTCCTGGGGTTTGATCCTCTGTAAATCACCCCCTGGGGGTGTTTCTGGGGGAGGGAAATCCCAGGAAAAAAACATGGATTTTGGGGGGAAAGGATGGAGAGGAAAAGAGTGGAGAGCAGAGTCTTCATCCTGAGGATCCTCCCTTTCTTGGGAGAAGGGGTTTTGTGGATCAGCTCAGCTGTTCCTGGGTCTCCACAGGGTTTGATCCTCCATAAATTGCCCCCAGGGGATGTGTCTGGGGGAGGGAAATCCCAGGAAAAAACCCTGGATTTTGGGGGAAAGGGTGGGGAGGAAAAGGGCAGAGAGCAGAGCCCTCGTGCCGAGGATCCGCCCTTTCTTGGGAGAAGGGGGTTCGTGGATCAACTGAGCTACTCCTGGGGTTTGATCCTCTGTAAATCACTCCCTGGGGGTGTGTCTGGGGGAGGGAAATCCCAGGAAGAAACATGGATTTTGGGGGAAAGGATGGAGAGGAAAAGAGCAGAGAGCAGAGCCCTCGTGCTGAGGATCCTCCCTTTCTTGGGAGAAGGGGTTTTGTGGATAGTTCCTCGGGGAACCTCAGGGTTCCTCCACAGGGTTTGATCCTCCATAAATCACCCCCAGGGGTGTGTCTAGGGGAGGGATATCCCAGGAAAAACCCTGGATTTTGGGGGGAAAGGATGGAGAAGAAAAGAGCAGGGAGCAGAGCTCTCGTGCCAAGGATCCTCTATTCCTTGGGAGAAGGGATTTTGTGGATCAACTGAGCTACTCCTGGATCTCCACAGGGTTTGATCCTCCATAAATCATCCCCGTGGGATGTGTCTGGAGGAAGGAAATCCCAGGAAAAAACATGGATTTTGGGGGAAAGGGTGGGGAGGAAAAGAGCAGAGAGCAGAGCCCTCGTGCCAAGGATCCGCCCTTTCTTGGGAGAAGGGGTTTCGTGGATCAGCTGAGCTACTCCTGGGGTTTGATCCTCTGTAAATCACTCCCTGGGGGTGTGTCTGGGGGAGGGATATCCCAGGAAAAAACGTGGATATCAGAGGAAGGGATGGAGAGGAAAAGAGTAGAGAGCAGAGTCTTCATCCTGAGGATCCTCCCTTTCTTGGGAGAAGGGGTTTTGTGGATCAGCTCAGCTGTTCCTGGATCTCCACAGGGTTTGATCCTCCATAAATCATCCCAGGGGATGTGTCTGGGGGAGGGAAATCCCAGGAAAAAAACATGGATTTTGGGGGAAAGGGTGGGGAGGAAAAGGGCAGAGAGCAGAGCCCTCGTGCCGAGGATCCTCCCTTTCTTGGGAGAAGGGGGTTTGTGGATCAGCTCAGCTGTTCCTGGATCTCCACAGGGTTTGATCCTCCATAAATCATCCCTGGGGGTGTGTCTGGGGGAGGGAAATCCCAGGAAGAAACGTGGATATCAGAGGAAGGGATGGAGAGGAAAAGGGCAGAACCCTCATCCCGAGGATCTGCCCTTTCTTGGGAGAAGGGGTTTCATGGATCAGCTCGGCTGTTCCTGGATCTCCACAGGGTTTGACCCACCATAAATCATCCCTGGGGGTGTGTCTGGGGGAGGGAAATCCCAGGAAAAAACCCTGGATTTGGGGGGGAAAGGATGGAGAGGAGCCCTGGGGAGAAGGACTTGGGGGTGTTGGTGGATGGAAAAACGGGATACGCCCCGTCCGTGTGCGCTGGGGAGTTTGGGATTCCCCACGTCCCGGGGTCGTGGCACAGCGAGGGCAGCGGGAAAGGAGGGAAGGAATTCCGCCCCTGGAATTCCGCCCCTGGAATTCCCCCGTGTCCTGGGCTCCCTAAAGCAACGAGGAAAAAGAGGGAAAACCATTCCCCGGATGTTGGATTTCCCCCCCTCTGTGGATCGTCTCCCTCCACGATTCCTTCGGCTCCGATTTTTCCCGTCCGTGCCGGGTCCGGCCCCACCTCCCCCCCGGAGGAGTTTTCCATCGGATCCGACGGCTGGAATGGCGCCCTTTGGATCCCTACGGAATTGTGGGGGTCGGAAAAGCCTTCCCGGGTCACGACAGGCCCCACGAGCTCCTCCGGCCGTTAAAATTCCTCATTCCCTCGGCCGGATATTCGGGAACGGCCGCGGGTGGAAAACACGTTCCCGGCAGGAAAATCGGGATTCCGCTCCCGTTTCCTCCGTCCGTCCTCGAAGATTTCCGGGAAAAAAAGAAATTCCAGGCCGGGGCTGGGAGGTGAAAGGGGGTGGAAGGGGGGGGTTTGTCCCTTTTTTAATTCCCTTTCCGTGGATTCTCCGCTTCCCACGGTTGGGACCGGGCGGGGATTTGTCCGACGTCGCCGTTCCCGCGACGTAATTCCAGGGAAAGCCGGGGCGGGAGTCGGGATGGGATTGAGGGGGCGGAGCTTTGCCGGGCGGGGGGTTAAGTCGGGATTAGGAGCCGGGATTTGGGGTCTATTCCGGGCTTTTCCGTCCCCGGCTCACTTTCCCCCGGAGTTAAAAATAACCGGGATGAGGCTCTCGGAGCCGCTTCCGGAGCCGGAGGGGAACGGAACTCCGGGATTCGGGGATTCAGGAATTCAGGGATTTAGGGATTTAGGGATTTAGGGATTTAGGGATTTAGGGATTTAGGGATTTAGGGATTTAGGGAGGGGTTGTTTGGTTTTAGTGAATTTCTGGGATTTGGTTGTTTTTCCGGAGGGTTCCCGAGTCAAAGCTGCCGGGGGCGGGTTTGGGAAAATTCCGGAGGGGGGGAAAAAAAATCGGCCTTTGGAATTCGGGAAAACGACTCCGGGGGTGGGAAATCGCTCTCAGGAAGGGAAAAATCCCCTTTAGGGATGGGAAAATCGCCTTTATCCGTGGAAAATCGGCTTTGCCGTTGGAAAATCAAATTTATTCATGGAAAATCCCTTTTATTCGTGGAAAATCAGCTTTATTCGTGGAAAATCGGCTTTGCTGTTGGAAAATCAAATTTATTAATGGAAAAATCCCTTTTATTCGTGGAAAATCAGCTTTATTCGTGGAAAATCACCTTTATTAATGGAAAAATCCCTTTTATTCATGGAAAAATCACTTATTTATGGAAAATCAAATTTATTAATGGAAAATCCCTTTTATTAATGGAAAAATCAGTTATTAATGGAAAATCAAATTTATTAATGGAAAAATCCCTTTTATTCGTGGAAAATCACCTTTATTCATGGAAAATCACCTTTATTCATGGAAAATCGGCTTTGTTCTTGGAAAATCCCTTTTATTAATGGAAAAATCCCTTTTATTAATGGAAAAATCCCTTTTATTAATGGAAAAATCACT